CAGCACTACAAGCACGCCGCAGCCTCGTATCGCCTTCCGCTGCTGCAGCGTCACGTGTGCACTGATGTTCTGGGACATGTTCTACATACGTGGGATGTCCTCATGTGTGTGCCTGTGCATGCGTGTCATGTTCAGGGATGGTTTTATTGATTGATGGCTGTGGTGGAGGGAAGGGAGGATGATGGAGGGAGGAGTGGTAACATTCAATCAGACTGTCCTCTGATGGACGAGGGTAAAAAGAGTATACGAGGAAACTGTAAGTGGAGAAAAGGGCAGAGTGGCCAACGAGGGAAGGCTGCATGATGGTAGGAATGAAGAAAGGATGGGGATGAGTCAGAGCCACGTGAGGAGGATGTGAGCTGCATGCTGAGGGAGGTTCACACTCAGTTAGGTGAAACACACCTGCATCAGCAGCGGGGGGAGGGTCTTACCAAGGGCGCCCTCTCCTCTGTCACTCCACCTTTCCTCCTCCTCCTCCTGCTCAGTGAAGTCATGACCGCTCTACCCCCCTTTTCCCTTCGCTGACGTTATTCTGACCTACATCTTCCTTCCTGTGTCCTTCTTCTTCTTCTCTCCTTCAGCGCGTCTTCTGTTTCCGGCTCCGTTCATCAGCTTGTCCACCGCTCAGGTTCCTATGCTCTCTGCTGATTGGCTCTTTGATCATGTCTCATGAGTCGTTTATGAAACCGTAAACGCTATCAGCTGATCTTATCTCTTCCATGACCCAAATAAACACGCTGAATAAACACTCATAAACCGAGACGCACAGTGAGGCGGTGAGCTGAGGTTGGAGATCACTGAAGGTGTGTTTGTGTGTGTGTGATGTAACTATGCTTTGATTTAAAAGTGGGATAAAACACGCAGTCCAAAAACAGCCAAATATTAAAATGATGGGGCAGCGGGATGGGGAGAGGAGCGATGAGGCTTTTATCATTTCTGTGTTCTGGCTGTCGATCGAACAGCTGATTGGGAGAAATATACGAATACTGTTAATTGCTTTTATGAAAAATGTGTTGATTCATGGTGACCGTGAAGTAGAAGACGGCTCAGAGCTGCTTTGTTGTAGCTGGTGGTGGTCTGTCAGCTGGACAAGTTGCCGATGTGGACTGTGTTATGTGTTACAAACAGAAGCTCCTGCACAGTTCCAGAGATTCCCAGAGCTGATCTGAATGGCTCAGCATTGGGTCTGACGTAGAATAATGGATAATAATAATGGATTGGATTTATATAGCGCTTTTCAAGTAGAGCTGGGCGATATGAGATTTTTTCATATCACGATATGTTTTTTTCATTTCAGGCGATAACGATATCCATCACGATATAAGCCAAATAACTATATTTGTAAGATTTAAATGTGCCGTTGCTCACAAGTAAAATGTGAAATAATCAGCAGCTTGTTTTGATTTAAATATTTATTTCCCATAATAAGTTCAACAGGGTAGATGTACTTAAGGAACATGAGACTTTTTCAGATAAATAAAGGCAAATATTGCAAACTACACAAAAGGCAGCCGCTAAAGCGTCTAAGTTTCAAAATAGAACAAACGAAACAGACTAAATTGTCAATTCCACTTAGAAACAAAGTATTAATTCTACAAATAAATCTTAGTTTGTTTTACAGAAGAACAGACAAAACTGACTAACTTTTGTCAATATCAAATAAACTGAGAACTAAAAGGGAATTCTCAATCTCTCCTTGTTGTATAGCTTAGCTTTTCAAACAGTTGTAACAGTTACTTTAGTCTGACAAAAGCCGAATGACGAATTAGCGCTTCCAGTCAGAGACTGAGGCTACGTCCACACGTACACGGGTATTTTTGAAAACGGAGATTTTCCGTTTTCGTTTTAAAAAATAATCCCGTCCACACATAAAGGCAGAAATGAAGGAAAACGCTGCTATGAACATGCCAAAGCAGCAGGTGGCGCTAGATTCCTAACCGTGCCGAAATGTTGGCCAATCAGAAGTCTAGAAGCCTCGGTGGGAAAAAGTAAACAAAGCTGGGGCGTAGAAGCAGAACAGAGTCGTATGTGTAGACGGACAGTAACTGTGTATATGTAAGCATTTAAACACTGCAGAGAGTAGAACAGTAACAGTATTGTAGAAATTCATTTCACCGAAACAATAACGTGGCGCACAGTGTGACGCATGCACCAGTTTATTGTATTTCCAGACTTGCTTTCGGCACATTTACAGTGCACGCTACTCTGTTTTTTGTCAGACTTGAAATAGCCGAAATACCTTCACACTACGGAGCTTCTATGGCTCTTCTGTTCGACAATATCTCCGGCATTGGACCATCATCTGTTTTCTCTTCGGTCACGCTCGGTTGATTTTTCTAGTCGGCACACTCATTTCCTCCATTACCCGCTGGCTGCTTCCCAAACAAACACACGTGCGGCTTGGCACTTGTGCTGTACGTAACAAGTCACGCGACGTGACGCTGCGGCTGTGATTGGTTCGGCTCTGCGCTACTGAATTTGGATCGGCTGACCTTTTTTTTTAAGAGAACAAGAGCAGCGAGGTCTATCGCGATAGCTTAATTTCTCTATCGAGTAAAAGTTATATCGCGATACATATCGTTATCGTTCTATCGCCCAGCTCTATTTTCAAGGCACCCAAAGCGCTTTACAATGCCACTATTCATTCACACACACTGGTGGAAGCAAGCTACGGTTGTAGCCACAGCTGCCCTGGGGCAGACTGACAGAGGCGAGGCTGCCATATCACGCCATCGGCCCAACACCAGTAGGGTAAAGTGTCTTGCCCAAGGACACAAAGCGACCAAGAGCCAGGACAGAGAGCCCGGGGATCGAACCGGCGACCTTCCGGTTACAGATACGCTTCCCAACCCCCTGAGCCACGGTCGCCCCAAGTGTGCTATATATACTTGATGTATTGCGAGTTTTTCCACATACGGTGGTTAAAATATCTTCTAGAAAAAGCAATATAAATATTTCTGAAACATGCCGTAAAGCTGTTGCTGCAGTGCCATGAATTAATTCCAGCAGCTGAAAAGTCGTCCTCTGCAAAACAAACAAAGACTGTTTTAAACTTTGCATGTGAGCATCTCCATGTTATAAGCACAAAAGAGAACCTTTGCAAGTCAAGTCTCATTAATTCTTGTTTGTGATCGTTTGTTTGTCGAGTGTTGACCACAGAGACAGTCGTACTGTCACTGGTGAAAAAGCCTCTGTGTGCAGATGATGCTTCAAATAAAACATTTAAATTGAACGAGTGCAATTTTAGGCCATATGTGGTTAAATATAACATTAAAACATGTAACATAGTCTGACAGTGGGTCCAAGGGTTTCACCCTGATACCTAATGACAGGATACGCCTCCTCAGAGATGGTGGGTCTCTGAACTCGGAATAAAAAGTGTTCCTTTCATTGTGTGAGCAGAGAGCACTGCTCGTGTTGAACGTGTTAATTTGGTTAATTTCATCATCACATCAGTGGTCTCAGCTATGCTAGCTGAAACCTGATAGAAACGTGACAGTTGCTGCTGGGACAGAGTGTTCTGCACGCTCAGACACAAACGGCAGAGGACGAGTCGGCTACAAGCTGAGCTGCTTTGTGTTTGAGGAAAGCTGATCTGTTTGAATCAGTTAAAGACGTTTAACTGGTCGACCCAGTGTGTGTGTTGTCGTTTCCTCATCATTCATAAAACAGGACATTGATTCTGTGTGTCGTCTTCATGCAGACGTTAAGGAAGGAATGTTTCCTCCTCCCTTCAGAGACCATGCAGTCATTTCCCATCACGGCGAGTCACGCACACACACTTCCTGCTCTTCGCAGTGACGTGGCTCAGTGTGTGTGAGAGGCTCGGCCTGCTGTGACTGTGAGCCACATGGTAAAGAATTTAGAGATGTGATCTTGAAGGTAAAACACAAACTGAGCACAGTTTCCCTTTTCACATGTTCCTGAGAGCATTTCAGGAATTGTTGATTAGGAAGCGGGATCTGAAATCGTCTTGTATGGGCAACGGACATTTTCAGGGAGTGAGTTTTTCAGAGTTGGGCAAGCCATCGCTGAGGTTTTAGAGAAGTGTTTGGCAGTTCCTGACTTTATGAAGGGTGAAGGCTCTTGTTCCTTCAGGCAGAGGCTTCGTGTAGGTGTCGAGTGATTTGGTAATGGGAAATGATTCTTGAGGTCTTGTTACCTCAGATGTTGCGAGGGGTCAGAGGGTGCCTGCTGAGGTCCTTTATGTCCATAAGAGTTCATGTGGAGGTTCCTGTGATTTCATGTGATCGTAGGAGATCCTCGTTGTTGATTACTGCCTGGAAATAATCTCCATTCCTCTGCTGTGTGTCTAAGCCTAGGTCTCCTTTTTTTTCTCTTTCAGTGTTTGCAGTGAGTGACGCGCAGAGCTCGAACAACTTTGAGATATTTGTCACTAAAGAACATCAGAAAACAAAGTTATATCAACCATCCACCTCCTCGGTCAGAATACACATGCAGCTCAGTAAAACCAGCACTCATCACATGTGTCACTGTGACCACAGTGAGACGTGCATTAATAGATGAAGACCGTCCACACTGGGCGACTGTACATGTGACAGACAGTCTGTGCGATCCTGGTGTTGAACCTCCTCTAATGTGGAAGCCTTATTACATCTAATGAGCAGCTGTTGATGAGAGCTCCTTGTGATGCTGACAGCGAACAGTGATTTACAGTGCAGACTTTTATCCAAAGTGCCTCTCACTTTGAGAAAGGGCGGCTTGATTGGAACTGAAGCTCTGACAGTACAACCACACAGAAACATTCAGACTCATCGGAGTCGTGGAAGGAGAACCATCTCCACGTTTGTGTTTCAGAGAGCACAGATAGCATCATCCACTGCTTAAGGCAAAGCAGAACAAAAACACTTTTACCCAGCTGTGATCTTTGTGACTTGTGCTATTTTTTTGTATCCCGAAAGAACCCAGGCTCCTGGGAATGCTGCTTTGATCTCAATGTTTAACTAACGTGACCTCTCCTTCTCTTTTTCCGTCCTCAGTATGGGGAGGAGGAGGTGTGTTCGGACCGTCTGGACACCGACTTCCCGGACATTGACCTCTCCCAGCTGGACACCAGCGACTTTGACAGCGTCAACTGCCTCAGCGAGCTGCAGTGGTGCAACGATCAGTCGGCCAACGCGTCGCCGGCCTCCATTCACTACAGCACAGCAGACGAGCTGTTCGAGGTGAGGTTTCTGTCCTGAAGCCGGTGCCTCTTCTCGAAAATACGTCTCCTTTTTCGGCGTCTTTCTTTCTCATACCTATGCTCGTTATCTTTCTATTCTTGGAAGAGCTGGTGGTCAGAGGGAAATGAATCTTCGTCCGTTGTTTAGTGTTGAGACAAAGTTGGTGTTGTGTGAAGGACTTCCCAAATACTCCCTGCTGACTCCTTTAGCTGCACAGTGTACAAAATATGTGCTCTGATATTATTTTAGTGAACTGAGGCGAGCACGAGGTGTTAGGCCGGAATCAGCTGGCAAACATGTCCACGCGCTGCAGGCTTGTCTCAGCACTTCACACCAAACAGAGGCTGAATCTGTGCTTTTTGTTTTGGCACCTTCTTGTTTTTTCAGACCTTTTGACCAAAGCTGTTGTTTTATGAATTAATTCAGCTGTTAATTGAATCTCACACGTGCCTTTCGTGGAATTGGGTCTCAGAAGCATGTTGTTAGAGAGCCAAAGTTTCCTATGCTGAAGTGGGTGTAAAACCCAAACCCCTGTCTTGACCCTTGTGCTTAGATGTGGACATGCAGCGTGTCTCTGTGGGCCCAGCCAAGAAAGTAGTTCCCAGTTATGCTGCGTGTAACACGATGATGCAAGCAGCACATCTGCTGGGCCGCTGAAAGCCCGAGGCTCCGGTGTCCGGTGCCCTTCCGGGATGAATTCAAGGAATACCCTTTTAATCTTTCTTTATCTGCGAGCCGGCCCTGGATCATTGATCGTCCATAGGTTTGCAGTCCCTGCAAAGTCTTGCAGTCCCATTATGGAGGCTAAATTGAGAGCACCTCGAGAATAAAAAGACAATAACGGAGAGATAAAGTAGCATTTAGGTCCACATCATCTGCTGTGTAATGCAAGTCTGCTGATGGAAATTGCTTTGATGCTGCAATGTGCCACAGAGAGTATTGGTTAAATGAAGACAGGCAAAGCATTATGGGAATTCAGGTAAATAAACACCCACAGCCCCTGTCTGCACTCTGAGCGCCTCAGTTTTATTCTTACTTCGATCCACATTAGCTGACGCCTGAGCGACTCTTTGACTTCCTGTTGCTGACACGAAACTAAACTTCACAAGATCACAGACGGACAACACAGACAGTTACAGACGCAATCATACAGCACAAACACAATCACAGACACACAACAGACACAGTTACAGACACAATCATACAGCACAGACAAAATCACACACACAGTCGCAAAGACACAATCATGGACACAGGTGTATTCATACTGAGAAGTTACAGCAGTGAGATTCTTCATGTCTAACAGCAGCCGACTAATAAGAAAATACACGAAGAGGAAACGGGCGCGTTAATCTCACCGTTTTTCTGGTTCTTTGTCTCGATCAAACACTGCAGCTGCTTTACTTCCCGGCCTTTGTGGTATCGGGAGCTCTTTGATGGCTTCATGGCACTTTTTCCTTTCTGTGTTTGTCACCAGTAACTGCTCCTCCTGATGCGTTCTGGTCTGTGTTCACTCATTTTTCTGTTTCTGCAAACTCACTCTGCACATGTACAGCTTTGAAAAACACAGCACCCCCCTTCATTCCTCTGATATGTTATATTTCAGTCAATACTATATTGATCAGATTAAAACAGCAGTGTAGATGGTCAGACCGCGTTTGATTATGAATACGAGTAATGAATAGAGTGATAACCAGGCACATGAAGCCCTCCCAGTGTCTCTGCCCCTCTGCTATCAGTCAATATGGTGCTTATTTACGGTCGCGTGTCGCAATCTCATCCCCAGCTGGAGGTTATCGATCGTGTTTGTGTGACTTAATTTAACCTCAGAGTGCAGAGATCAGGAAAGGAAAGAGCAAATTGATTTAGAATTATGATTTTAGCAATAAAAGCCCACACATGCTCAGTGGACATCTATTCAGCTGTTCGTGTGTCAGCCAATCACACGGCAAGACAAGCTGCTGAAGCTCAGACCGAGCATCAGAATGATGAAGAAAGAATGTGGCATGGTTGTTGGTCTGAGTGTTTCACACACTGATCTCCAACCATCTCTGAGCTCAGAGGAAATAACCAGCCAGCAGCAGCTCTGTGGGAGGAAATGACTCGCTAAGGTCAGAGGAGGATGGACAGTCTACTTAGAGCTGATAGGAAGGCAGCAATAACTCCAGTAAGCACTCGCTACAACCAAAGGTTGTGTCCAAATTCATGGGCTGCATCCTCCTGAGGCCGCATTTGTAGACCGATTACGTCACAGCGACGCGCCGAAGGCTGTCCAAATTCGTAGACTCCTCCGAATGCAGCCGACAAATGCGTCCTCCTTTTCTCCGAATTTGAAGGATGGGTCGGATGTGTCCTTCGTGGCCTACCATATCCCAGAATTCATAGCGCGGCCCAGCCAAACTCCAGTTTCCAACAATGGCGGCCGCTACTAAGTTTTAAAATCACTCTTACTAATCTTTCTGGGTCACAAAATAAACTTTTAACATATTTTCAGGCGAGAAAGTAGCTGTGTAAACATCAAATATCTGCTCGGTTTATCAAGATATCGCATATTTGCAAAAGTGCTTCAACGTTTTCGGAGGCGTCTGCTACCCACCAGCTCGACAGCTAGCCGGGAGCTCGAGGGTTACTGATGCGGCCGAGAACGGCACAACTCCCGGCACATCATTTTCAGATCACCGCGGACTTTCGCTGCTCAGGTTAAACGTAATATATAAGTCACTTAGACAACCTAAAAATGTTATTGTTGGGCTTTTTTCAGTGTTTTGTTTGTTCGTGAGTAAATCGGTTTGGCTGAGATTAAAGTTATTAGATTAGATTAGATAAAATAAAACTTTATTAATCCCCCGGGTGGGTTCCTCCTTGGTTTTCACACAGCTGACTAAACGTCAAACAGAAACCTGATTAAACAGAAGTATGAGACAGTCGAGAATTTACGCCAGTGTCCCGTTATATTTTAGATAGCAAGGAGCAGACGGCTGAGTTTATTAAACTCCACCGAGACAGCGGTGACGCTAATCAGAAGGCTAGACCGTCCAAATTCGCAACCTTCTGAGGACCTGGCCCACGTAGACTGCGAAGGCCGGGTCCTCAGGAGGATGCAGCCCATGAATTTGGACACGACCAAAGTCTGCAGAAGAGCGTCTCTGAACCTTGAAGCAGATGGGCTCCAGAAGCAGACGACCACACCAGTGTCACTGCTGTCAGTAAGAACAGGAAACTGAGTCTATGGCTAACACAGACTCTCAAACCTGGACAACAGAAGCTGGAGAAACGTCTCCTGGTCTGACGAGTTTAAAGCATGGATCCATCCTGCCTGTGTCCGTGTTCAGGCTGCTGCTGGTGTGACTCTCAGTACCAGCTGAGCATCGTTTAAACTCCGTAGCCTGGCCGAGTGCTGCCGCTGACCACGCCTATCCTTTATGACCTCATTGCACCGTCTTTAGCAGGATAACAAAGCTCCGTGTCTCAAAGCTCAGATCATGTAAGACTGGTTTCTAGAACATGACTGTGAGTTCACTGCACTCAGGCAGCCTCCACAGACACAGATCTCAGTCCTGCAGAGCAGCTTTGAGATGCAGGAGACACATCTGCATCAGCTGTGTGATGATGTCATAATGATGTCAGTCTCTGAGCAGCTTGTTGAATCTGAGCCATGAAGAGTTAAACTCAGTACTAGCAGATGTACCTAACAAAGTGTAAGTAAGTAAGTGTCTGTATTTTGATTGTCAGGTAAATGTAAATCTGTTTTTCTGTGACTGTTAAATTAAGTATGAAGCGCCTTGAGGCGACTTATGTTGTGATTTGGCGCTATATAAATAAAATTGAATTGAATTGAATTGAAGTATTGCTTTTAGCCAATCAAAGGCTTTCCTCTGCTGATGTAGCACTGTGTAGATTCCCGCAGAGAAGACGTGAGCTGGCCTGAAGATGGAGAATAAATGTAGGAATAAATAGTTTTGGCAGCTGGGGACAGATGGATCTGGATGATAAAAGAGAGAGACAGATGAATGAAGCTCGCTGGCTTCCCGTAGGCCAGCCGTGCTATCGCCTCTCCACCAGACTCTGCTCTCAGCAAGATGGCAGCTCATCAACAGTAAACAACTCCTGTGTGGATGTCACAGGAGGGCCGGCGGTGGAAAGAGAGCTGAGCTTGGACTGAAATTACACATAAACATTATTTTCTTCAAACGAGACAATGTTCATGCTGAAACATTACAGAAGTGCACATGCAGCATTGCAGAGAACTCAGTGTCGTACTGACGGAGATAACAAGGTCAAAGGTCAGAGTGGAGTCACCTGACCTGTGATGTTATTGTGATAAATGACACAAACAAGAAGAAAGAGTGATCAGAATGTATGGGGCATTGTTTGAGGAGTGATTCAGCTCCCGAAGAGTCCTTCAGTCTGAGAACCAAGACATCTGTCTATACATCCAAGCATCCATCCATCCACCCATGTATACATCCATCCATCCATCCAAACATACATCTATACATCCATCCATCCACCCACCCATGTATACATCCATCCATCCATCCAAACATACATCTATACATCCATCCATCCATCCACCCATGTATACATCCATCCATCCATCCATCCAAACATACATCTATACATCCATCCATCCACCCATGTATACATCCATCCAAACATACATCTATACATCCATGCATCCATCCAAACATCCATCCATTCATATGAATGTGGTGATGGTGATAGATCTGGTGTGGTGGATTAATAATGGGTCTCTGAGGTGTGTATCGGTGTTCCTGATCCCGCCCATGTTCTCTTCCTGCAGATAGAAGAGGAGAACGCGGCTCTGCTCGCCGCTCTCACCGACAGTTTGGATGGGATTGTGGATGCCGAGGTGGGTGGACTCTCTGTGTTCCCCGCCCTGGGGGAGGAGCCCAGCCAAGAAGAGGAAGATGGTCTTTCTCTCAGCGCCGAGGACTTCAGCCAGCCTCTGGGGTCCGAGACCGAGGACCCGTCTCTGGTAAGAACACAGAGCGGCGTGAAGCAGCATCAGAACTGTTTCTTTTGTCTCTATTCTGGGTCTGGACCTCAATTTTCCACATCTCCCTCTGTTATGTTTGGTATACAAAAGAGAAACAGGAGATGAATATACCAAACATAACAGAGGGCTGTTATGTTTGGTATTCATCTCCTGTTTCTCTTTTGTCATTGGTCTGCAAATCAAACGTCTCTCACAGCCCAACAGACAGAGATCCTTTAATGCGAGCTTCAAACCCTATCCAGCCCTCGTCACCGCGACGTGCTGAGCCTCTCCTTTCCCATGCTCTCCCTGCAGCTTTCTCCCCCGTATCTCCATCTGTGTCGCGTTCACTAACCTTCATGATCCCCTCATCGGCCTGCGAGGTTCAAAGTCTGCCTTTAACTGCAGGAAAACAGAGCAGCACAAAGTAACCTTTCATCCTGTGTGTGTGTGGGGGTGGGGGTCCCGTTTCTGGGAACCAGGCATTATTTCAATCACACAAACAGGGTGAAATGCTTCAGAGAGAGCGCCTTGTAGAGGTTTGTGTGAGAATGAGATCTGGTCATAAATGATGAAATCCTGAAAAAGAATAAAGTCTGAGATGTGTTGAGAACGGCGATACAACAGTTTCTTACAGCAAGCTGCTGACTTCAGACTTTTAGGCAACTTTCAAAGTTGTGTGAGTGATTTGACGATTCTGCAGACCTACACAGTCTCAGGACCATGAGTGAGGTGGTCTGTGTTGGTCTTTGTGCTGAAGTGTGTGTGTGTCTGTTCTCCCCCCCCCCCCCGGGCCTCTTCCTTGTTCCCTGAATCACTCTTCCTGGAACAAATCCTGTTCTCTCCCCACTTGCCCCTCCCCCCGTTATCAGCCCTTGCCTGCACCTGAGCCCGTCGCCTCCTTACCAAAAACTCTGAAACCTGTTGAGCCCCCCCTGCTGGGCTCAGCCTGGAGGTAATTGAAGCAGGAAGTTATTTGACTGCTCATGCGATTACCTCCAATGCGGTCTTGTTGCTCTCGTCACAAACACAAATCCACCCGCTTCCTCAGCGCACGGTGCTCGCAGGCTTTACTTGTGTGCTCTGATTTAGCGGCAGCTGACAAAGATGCTATTGTTTGGCAGTCGTGAGTCATGGCGGATGTCTGAATACCTGCAGTGTAAATGTTTACCAGCATGCTCTGACTTCTTTTTGTACTGACATGATGAGGCCATCTATAAAACCACCCTGTTGAGCCACATTTGCTGGGCTCTAAAATGAATGCAGTGATAGACTGTGAGATAAGAACGGGTCAATATCCTTTATGGAACAATAAAATATGTTCTTACAGTGAAAGAAGACACCATTGAGTCTCCTTGGATTGAACTGCTCTGCAGAATTATACCAGCAAATGAATGATGGAGCCTTACAGTGAATGCAGCTGTGCTGCAGTGTGTAAGCCGTGAGGAAGCAGACTGAGCGATGGCAGCATATCAGCCGTTGCTCTTCTCTGGTACAGGTGCACTGTAGTAACTGCTTTGGCCTCAAGCCACTTTATACTGGAGTAATAGAGAGAAAAGCCCAACAATGAGACAACCCCCTAGGAGCAAGCACTTGGTAACAGTGGAAAGGAAAAACTGTTTGAACAAAAAGAAACCTCCAACAGAACCAGGCTCAGGGTGGGAGCCTGCCTGCTGTTACCTCTTCAAACCGCTTTGCAACCCACCCCACCCCAGCACCTCCACTTCATGCTTTTACTAACTTAATGTAACTGACACCTGCTCATATCTGTGCTGGGGTCAGAGGTTGGAGCTGGGGTCAAAGGTCGGTGCGGTGCAGTATAAAAGAAGGAATCTGTGCATTTTTATGCCTCATGCTTCTCACGTATGTATACAAAAGGACCAAGAGGTCAAGGAGCGCCAAATATAAATGATGAGAGGTTCTGTTCCCCACCTAAATAATATCTGAACACTAAGACTACAGAACCACAGACACTAACAGACACGTAGGTGGAGCCTTGACAGTGTTGGTGTAATCATGTCCAGTGTCCAGGGCCCCATCATCGTTATCCCTGTTCATTTAAAGCTACACTGTAAAGTGTGTGCACCCACTGCGAGCTGTTTCAGTGACACCACTGGGATTGAGTGTTCAGTTTGACAACATGCAGAACACATCACCAACGACACGTTTAGGAATAATACTTATATACAAGATAGTAAGCCAGAGGTTTTACTGTATGACTGGAGTACTCTAGTGTACTAACAGTAGTGGGGACGGATCTGAGAGGCATTAGCAGGAAAATAGGGCATTCCTTCCAAATTGGTGGAAATTGCAGTGACGGTAAATGTTTCAGTAATCAGGACAGTTTGGCTGTTGAGGAAGCCAAAAAAGAAGCAGTCAAGCCTGTGAGCGCTAACGGTGAGTGTGTGCCGGCAGGAAGTCGGGCATCGCTGCAGGCGGTTAAATGCAATGAAGCTTTTGTTTGGTGCAAAACAGGCCAAAGATAGTGAGCTGTCACGCCACGACATGCCGTCGTCTCTGCTGTCTCACACGTTTGTCCTTGAAGCTTCGGCGGTCATCAGTCAGCCGGAACTCAGGTTGTAAGTACGAGACCCCGAAGGTCACAGAAACGCCAGCTCAGACTTCATGACTGTCGCCGTCGTTTATTCTTGAAGTTTTGGTGCACTTTTGATAATATTGATCCCAAAGGTCCACATGTAGAAAACTCCAGAGCAGTTTGATTGTGACAGATGCAACTCTGAGACTCTTTAAATAGCTTTAAATTATTACACTACACAGGGCTGCGTTTGACTTGAGAAACAATTTAAAAAAGTGAAGGTGTTCTCACAGGTGCAGCAGCCGGACATCCATGCAGGCAGAGCAGCCTCCTAACAACATTATTCTCTTTACTCTGCGTGCTGTCACATGACTGCTGTCACTGTGTTCAGGCTTAAATGAGGTGGCGGCCTCTACTGATAAATCCTAGAATCCTAAATTTTGTTCCAAAGTCTTCTAAAAGTCGTGTCTGTGTGGCGTGATTATAATTACATGACATATACGTATAAAGCTGCATAAACAGTGACAAGTTCAGTTTCCTCAGAGCTAAAAGAGCCGTGCAGAAGCTTTTAACATGTGTTTTCTCTGCACCGTGTCCCCCTCTTTCGGTGCTTGTGCACACTCTTGCAGTTTGTTCACATGTGATTGGCCCTTGGCTCTTTCTTCATGACTATTTGTCCCAGTGTAGAACAAGGCCTCCATTGATGAGGCCACTGAAGCTGTGGGAGGTGTCCAGAGTAGAGTAGAGCGAAGAAGAGTAAACTGTGTGTTTGAGGGCCCCGGATGCTTTCAGTGGTCCAAACAGACACAAACCTTCAGTTACCACTTTCACGCCCCTCAATGGGACTCTGAGCGGAGCATCAGCACGCGCTCAGAGCCAAGTTGGCTCGCCCACAAAGAGCCGCTGTGGCCCATTAACGATGTGGGCGACCGGCCCACTCACCCTGACCCAGATAGTATCTGTGCTTGCAGCCAGTGCTGACGGCTGGTGATGATGTGCAGCGTCGCTCACAGGTACACAGCTTCTAATGCTGACCTCCAGAGAGTCAGCCGCAGCATCACGCCATCATAAACACTCTGCACGCCCTGCAGTAGGTCTTCATATAATGTTGCTTACCTGTGACGGCCCCAATCAGAAACAGAGTTTTTATAAAGCGGCAACATCCGTGAGTTTCTACCAGCGATTCAGAGAGACTGAAAAAGGAGCTGATGGAGCTGACATGAAGCTCAGACCTGCACTGAATGGGCGACGAGGACAGTGGGCGGGGCTTAGGGGGTGTTAGTGTTAATATTCAGCGGAAGGGTAATACTGGGGGATGATGAAGGACAGGTTGGCTTCATGCCTGTAAGAAGACTGTGATGGAGGGATGAAGGAGCAGTCGTGCTCGGTTATTATAGAAAGAGAGAGTTTTTAATGGGAACGTGAGCGTGCCGTGTCGCTGTCAGCTTTAGTCGAGTGATAAATGTACAGTATGTTGACCCAGCCTGCATGTTACTCTTGTACAAACATCCATCAGCGAAGTGTTAACAGCTGACAGAACGTAGATTAAAAACTGGCGCATTCATCTCTCTGTGAGCCCTCTCCCGTGTTTGTGTTTTTACTACATTTGTACATCCGCCTCGCCGTCGTGCACGCGCACAAAGCGGCGCTCTATCTCTACGTCATGAAGACACTTCTGAAACCTTTTGATTTTCTTCCTCCTCAGCTGAAGAAGCTGCTGCTGACGCCTCCCAACATGCCTGCAGGCATGGACGTGCACAAAGAGGGCGTGAATGGCCATCGCTACTGCAACAGAAGCTTGCGCCTTCGTCCGGTCAGGCCTCTGCTGAAGGTGAGACACTTCCTGTCAGTACGTGCTGTTTAAAAGTTCACTACTTGTTGAATTAGGTTTTCAACAGAGCAACAAATTATCAAAATTAAATTCTCCAGTCTCTGGATTTTTACAATGAGTCGACGCAGTACTCGTGGCTGCGTAGGTAGTAGTACATCAGCAGTAAATGGTACAGTACGAAGCAGTTTTTACAGATTGTTAAGCTGTAGAATAAAAGCTTGCCGAGACCTTCCCGAGGAGAGGATGCTGTTGATGCTGGACGGAGTTCACAGAGCTGTGGCTTTAGCTTTAGAGCCGCGTAGCTGTGCTGTGGCAGATGGTGTGAGGGCAGCAGTGAGTTATGTGGATAATCCACAGCTGCACGCAGCACAGACATTAAACGTGAGCCTCTGTGCAGGGCAGGAAACCGCTTCCATGTTTTGTTGTGTGGGGCTTCATTTTTCATTTCCAGGAACAGCTGCAGACAGGAGAATGAAACAAAACAGTTCATCTGAAGCATCAGGATGTAGTGGAAGACTACAGGCTGCTGTAGTTGCATCCTTCATTACTGCATAGCAGGCCTGAACTGTGTTAGCTCACAGCACCGATGCTACAAGGGCTGCAGACCAAAAAGTTGTTCCACAAGCTTTTAAATATCTAGGCACAGAAAGGCCTTTTGACTTTTCCTTTCTTGTCCTTCAGATCGTGTTTTTGTTTCGTCCCGATGGCTTGTTTTCTTTAAAATCCAGCTTCCAAATTCCATCAGATTCTCTGAGCCACCTGAACATGCTGTCTACCAGCACACTGGCGTCAAACACAAAGCAATTCTGAGAATTGTTGTAGAATTTGAGTCTAATTACACTGATCCTTATCATCTGTTGTGACAACAATCACAACAGACTACAGCTACTCAGTAGCATTGTGAGGTAGTATGGCTTCAAAATCATTTATGGCACTGATACTGCCTCCTGCAGAGGGAAACAACATCTATTGCCATGGATACTTAATAAAGTTACGTTATAGTACATTTTTACAGTGAGCCGAGCTGTTTTTGCTCAGCGGTGCACACACAGAGCTGAGCATCATCATATATCCCTCGCATGTTATTTTTTCCTACATGCTCACCTTGTTTCTCACCCTTTGGTTTATGCTCTTGGTAGACTGTGGTGCTCATTTGGGCAGTGCTTTTTGCAGGTTGTTGGTAGACACGCTCCCACTGCCATGTTTTTTATCCTGTAATGCAGAGCACTTCCTGTTCTAACCGCTTGTTTGTCTCCATCTTCAGAGTGACGTCCCTCAGGAGAGGAAACCCCGGGCGGTGCGTCCCGCTGGGCGTCTGTGCACAGAGCTTCACCGCCACCTCACCACCACGGAGGACACTGCGGCTCCTGACACGGAGGAGGAGGACGAGGAAGAGGAGGACGAGGACAGTGAGTCTGAGGAGGAAGAAGAGGAGGAGGAGTCCTCCAGCAGTGAAGCGGAGGGAGCGGCAAGCGTGGCCGCTGCCCCCGTTGAGGCACCGAAGCCTCAGTTCAGCTCAGAGAAGGAGCTGCAGTCTGTGGTGGAGTTGATCAGGTACATGCACACCTACTGCCTGCCCTCGCGCAAGCAGCAGGGCTGGGATCGTAAGGACCGTGACCTGCTGCGGTCCCGGGCCCGACCTGAGGCCCCCCGCTCACCTGCCACAACCTCTCACAGTAGAGTGGTACTGGTGGCTGGTCCCGGGACCGGCGGGGGCTTGACTGGGTCAGCCAGCACCGCCACCAGGAAGCTCCCCTTCGCTCGGCGAAGGGAGATGAAGGCAGACTCCCTTCTCCGCACGCTCTTGCAGCAGAGCAGCTCTTTTGACGTGAGCAAGCCTTACAGACTGCACCGCCCACCCTACTCTCTCAGCCCCGACCGAACGGGAGAACCCGCTCCCTCAGGCCCGGCCCAAATCCCCACCTCCGCCAACCCCAAGCCAGACCTTGAGACCCCTGAGAGGAGAAGCCACTCCTCTGAGCCACCACGAAGCCTGGAGAAGACTGCAGACTGCAGCGGCTCCTTCTCAGTTCGGCGCTCACGCCGGCTGGCATCGTTTCCCAGCCGCTTTGCCAAAAGGCTGCGGCCTGAACAGGCCAGGGAAGAAGACAGGAAGGAGGGACGGGTGGGGCTCAAACTGCCGCCCACCCAAGCTGGAGGGGAAAGCGCGACGGAGACGTTGAGGGGAAAGCTAACGTCCAGTGAGCTGAGTCACCCCTGCTGCCACGGTACGTCACGCACGTCCTCCTTCGTTCGTGAAGGCGGGGCCTGCGAGTGTGACCTCGTCACAGCAATACTGACCTACATGCTGATGAGTTTGTACATGGCAGTGAGAGGATTTTTGTTGTGGTTGCAGAAAAGCCAGCCTGCCTGTGTCTGCCTCTCAACACAAAGTCTGCAGGGTGAGTATTCACAGAGTACCTGTAGGTTTCATCATGCAGGTGCACCATAGTTATTTAGGCCGGAAACTTCACTTTAGGTTTACTAACGTTGAGCTGACAGCAGTGCAGAGGTGACTCAGCAGGCGCTCCACGCTGAACATACTTCAGATTATGATGCTGAGAGGATTGTTTCAGCTGTGCTAATCTAAAGCCTGTAAACATGCAAATGACTGTTAATCACTTGGAAACCATAAAAACCTCCATTCATTCGTTTCTTCCTGTTTGGGTATTTGCTTAATGATCTTAATTATAAAAAATTGAATGGTTGGCAGTTTGTCAGTGTGTGCACTGTTTGGGCTGACACTAAATTTAAGGCTCCGTGCAGGAACACAGGGACATCACTTACCCTGCAGTGAAACGGTCTCTCTCCAGTTGAGATCACTTTTACTTCAGCATAAAAGACGCTCATGTTCATCAGAAGTTCTAGCATAAGGTAACCAAAACAGGAAGAACCATCACATTCCGGCTGCTCACCTGTGGGTCTGATGAGATTTCAGGATAAAAGGCTTCAGCACCATCCATGGGGCCATTTCTGAACTTTTAAGCCAGACCCAGATTCATCAGGACCCTGGCTGGTTTCTCAGAATTTAATTTGGGCAGACAGAGTACTTTTTTGAACATTATTGAATGGTGATTGTGTTCAGGGCTCTAACGTGTCCTCTGCTTTGATCCGGCAGAGAGTCCCAGTACAGCACCAAGGCCTTTGAGCAGACGCTCAGCGTGGACCTGTGCGGAACGGCGGGTAAGCCTCTTGCTGCTGGGGCCCCACGCGATGACATCATAGCTGCACATGCTGTTTCTCGCTCATGTACTCAAGCCTTTGTCGTCCCCACTCAGGTCTCACCCCTCCCACGACTCCGCCTCACAAGCCCGTGGAAGACGAGCTGTTCAAGCCGGCCGACGGAGGAAAAGGTGGAGGTGGCGGAAGCGAGCCCGCCCACCTGGCTTCAAACAGCAGCGCTGCCGTAAAGACCTCGTCCTGGGCGAGCCGGGCTCACCACCAGCGGAAGCTGCCAGAGCAGACGGAGCTATACGCTCAGCTGAGGCGCATGGGTCAGGCCAGCGAGACTGACGCCCACCGTGGCTTTGGTGACCATGACTACTGTCTGCTGAGCCTCGGCGAGAGCCGCAAGCGTAGCGCTGCCATCTTTGGCGCCATGTTACAGGGACGAGCAGAGAGCGAGAGAGTCGGTGCTCCAACTCCCAGAGTGGCCGAGGAGGAGCGGGAAGGGAAGGAGAGCGAAGACGGGCTGGTGCACCCGGAGGCTGCAGAGCCGCGGGAGCAGCTGACATCGTCATCGTCACCCCCATCAGACCGCCAGTCGGACGCTGCCACGCCGCCAGCTTCTGAAGAAGAGGCAGAGGGCTCGTCGGTGTCTCGCTCGCCCTCGCCCATCCCCCACCTGTGCCCCAACTCTCCCTCCAGCAAGAAAGACTCCAGGTAAGATGGACACTTGGGGGGGGGGGTAGAAGCAGAATCCCAGTGAGTCTTACATTGTCAAAGATCAGAGGTCATTATTTCTGGAACACAGGTTTTTTTCTTTGCCGCAGTCACCTGTTACCTGCTCGTGTCTTTCATTTTCACCTCGTGTTTGTCCTAATCTCACATTCAACCACCCCTGCTCTTTCAGTGAGAACTCGGAGATTTGTCCTGACGACACGCAGAGGATCAAAGCCAATCCTGACGAGGTACGTTCGTCGTTCCAGAGCCTGAGTGCTGATGTAGCCACAGTCAGGTGTGCCTCTGCGTACCTGAGAGCAGCTCTGCGCTCGGCCTCCCCTCGCTTTAGTTCACACATCTTTCAGTATTCTGTATTGTCCTTTGTCCTGACTGTTGCCATGGTTTCCCTGTTGCCAGGACAACTGCCAGGTGTTTTACATCCACAACCTGCCGAGCAGCGTGACCCAGAACATGCTGAGGAAACGCTTTCAGATTTTCGGCAAAGCAGAGGACTGCAAAGTCATCATCTGCAACGAGTAAGTGTGTGTGTGTGTGTGTGTGTGTCATTGAGTCTGTCCCGTGATTGGCCACAGCCCCTAAAGGTCAGAGAGGGTCACTTCCTGAGGGGCTCATTAAATGTGACTTTGAAATTTTAATTTAATGATGGTGCCCGCTCCTGTTGTTGCAGACAAACCCAAACATTTGGTGGTGTTGATGTAATAGTTTTGTTTTGGGGTCAGAGGCGAAGTCACTGCTTCATTGTATCCAGGATATCACGTGTCTGCACCACGCCTTAAAGCACCAGTAAGCTAATGCACCGCCTGTCCTCTGCCGGCCTGTAGGGAGCGTTGCGGGGTGATAAAGATCCGCTCATCGGGCGTTCAGAAGCACTGGAGAGAGCGGGAAGGTGTTTTCCAGAACGGACCGGTGAGCCCGCGGAGGCTGACGAGGAAGCGCTACATAGACCTCGGTAATGAACGCACACAGCAGCACTCACAGGTGCACTCAGTAACCTGGACAGGTGTGTCAGTCATTAGTGCTGCAGAGGAAGAGCGCTTCAGCTACCGCAGAGCATCCTCCCGCCTGTAGAGGCGGGGCACGCACCCAGCTGTGGTTTGTTTCCCAGCAGCACGCCTGACCTGAAGCTTTGCTCTGTGTGTTTCAGATGAGGCAGGTCCCGGCCCGGTCAAGAGCAAGTACGACGCAATGGACTTTGACACTTTGCTGAAGGAGGCCCAAAAGTCCCTGCACCGCTGATAGTAGAGGTCCACCGTCTGGCCAGCCTTAGTAAAGAGCATCAGCCCTGCAGCGACGCGGCTCTGCCCTCAGACTGACTCCTGGTTCCTCCTCACAAGACGACCTCGCGAAATGTTTACATTTTTACCGTTGGAATAAACAATGAGGACCTCGTTTTTTTAAGTTCTTTCACCGGAGGACACTGCTCATAAACGAGGCGCCGCTGGGACCGCAGAGCGGTGCAGGGTCACTTCAGAGAGATCGCTTCTGTGCTGCTTTCTTGTCTGCACTGGGATGCCGTCGCCTCGCTGTGGACAAGCGGGCGTGAGAGACCCAGTAGCAGATCCTTGCTATCCCTGCGTGGCGTTGGTTGTTGTGGTGTGTGTCCCCATGTGTTCGTTGTTCTGTTTGTTTTGTAAAAAAAGAGAAATGCCCCTCTGAGGTCACGACAGGCGAGTACGAGCTGCATTTGCTCGTGCAGTCGCATAACCCCAAAAAAGAACCTGCTTTGTTTCAACGACAAATTGTGGATGTTATTAATTTTAAAATTACTGTGTGTGTGTGTGTGTTATGGACAAAGAATATAAGAAAACGTTTAATGTAATTATTTTATGACTGAGAAAGTTTACAAATCTAATATGAAGAAAAAAAAAATCATGTTTTTTCCTTTTTGTAATTGTAGTGCTTCCTTGATTTGATCTATGCACTGTAAGGACGCACCTGTTTCTGCTGTCCCTCCCTCCGATCTCCGCCATGCTGACGTTACGGCTGCTGCTGCTGCTGCTTCACACACGAAGGCTTTCGGGATTTGGGAAAAGTGTTCCCGCACTCGTTCACACGCACTGAAATAAGATGTGAGTTTACTTGAACGCCTGGAGGCGTGGCCTGAGATGGAGGCATAGGCACAGATTAGTTTGCCCACATCCATCAGAACCAGGACGAAAGTTGGAAACACTTTTCCCAGATCTTAGAGCCTCCCTGTCTCCCTGATGGGAGCCCCCCAACCGCCAATTCAACCGTTACTGTTTACATCTGGACAGCAGCAAGCGTGAGGAAAATGGAGAGCGCTCTGTACAAATCCAGCACTTTGTCCAGTATTCACCCCTTGAAGCTGCTCATCAGCCCTGTGGGGCCAAGAGCTGCCCGCGGGTCACGTGTGTGGGCCGGCCGCGGCGCGAGCCTTGCCCTCGACAGCACGCAGAAGGATCGGCTGGTCTCGTGGAATGTATTCGAGGACCTGAATGTAATCGTGGCGTTTTCCCCGTTTCTGCTCGCCCAAAGATTGTGGAGCTCTCCGGTGCTTTAAAAGGCTACACTGGCAGGGCTGCGTGAGCCGCTCCGGCCTCAGCGGTCGTCCGCTTGCGGCCGATTTACATTCCCTGCGCAGCTAGCAGCAGCAGCACCCCGTCAAAGGGAGAGAGCCTCCACAGCTGACGGCGAGGTGGCATGATATGGCCCGAGGACGAGCAAGGGGCCGGCCGAAAGGGAAGGAACAGAGCGGGGGTTTCCCGCCTGCTTCAGATGAGCATCTCTACCTCACATCCATCCGCCCCCGCCCTTTGTCTGTGTACGCTCTCCCCCTCCTCTTTTATAAGTGTCTGTCACTGGTTTCTTTGCTCTGTGTTTTCGGTGTGGGGCTTTTCTTTGCTGATGGGCAGTGTGGGTGGGTTTCTTTTAATACTGCGACTCCTACCACTACTAGCCACGATGGGGGGCTACTCTCTGTGTCCGGGGCCGCCTCACGGCGGTCCTCGGCGTGTCTGTTTCTTCGAGTCTCGACCGTGTCCTCGTGTAGCTGAGTGTTTCGTCTTCGTCTCGTGTTTAAGTTGGACACTACTGATGCTAACCCTAACCTGGGCCGGGCCAGGGGGGCGGAGCAGGTCAGGTTACCCATCTTTCCCTCGTTCTTCCTCGGGAATGCGCCCAATCCTGATCTGCTCATCCTCGCTCCCGGCCCGACTCTCTCTCTCTCTCTCTCGCTCTCTCTCTTTGGGTTTGAGGGTTCCGGGCCTTCCCCAGACTCCTCCCACTTCTTTCCCCTTCCTCTTCCTTTCTCTATCTAATCGACTTGTTGGTAACACACAAAAAATTGAATGTTTACATCACTTGATTCTTGTCTGACTTTATTAGGAACGCACACTAAGTACAAAGGCGCCTTATTCAGTGTTTCAAACTAAAACAACAGCAAGCAAAGTGTCCCGGGGGGGCCGCACCCCTCCCCCAAGGCTCACTGATGTCCAAAACGTATACATACTGATGGAGGAACAAGAACCCCTGAATGAGTATTTGTGCTTAGTATGTATACTACTCAAAAGTGAGAGAATGTGCTGGTTTACATGTTAAAAAGAAATATATGAGTATATAATGTGTACATAGCACTATGCCTCATTGTAAACATAAAATGTATTGTGTGTTTTTGTAAAGGTGGTGGGTCACTGTTGATTCTGAATCAGGCGGGAGGTGCTGGTTTGGGTCGGGGAGGAAATCCAACACTGTAGTTCCCTTTAGTCCGTCACACTAGCACGTCCCATTTCTTTGCTGTTTATGAAACGATTCGTTTTGTTTTCAGTTTTCTGAAAAAGCAATTTAAGATGCAATACGTAATAATCTTCTGATTACAGCCATCCTCACATCCTGAGGAAATAATGTGTGTGGGTAGTGCTGAGGTGTACTGCCGGGATGCTCTGTGCGCAGACCGCAGCGGGAGAAAAGCGGTGCGTCGTGAATGGCCATCTGAATTTACTCTTGCACAAAATTGTCACAAACGGTGAAACGGCGTTTCCCATCAAAGAGCCAATGGGAAGGAGTTTCTGTCGTGTGTCAGCAGCAGCCGATCCACACCGCGACCAGAACACGGGATGTGAGAGGGGGGAAACAAAAGGAAGCTGTCGCCGGTTTGACCCTGTTAAATATCTGCACCCCCCCCGCAGAGGCACAGGTGTGTGGGCGGAGTTTCTGGCTGAGGTTTCCGCCCTGCTTTTAATTTGAAAATCTGAGACCGAGAGGGGTTTCTGCAGTCAGTCCTCCAGGTGAACATCAGCTACCCCCGTCTCCAAACGGCAAGCCTTAAAAACCAGCCGGGGGAACCACTAGCTTTTATTATTACTGTTTAACCTCCTTTCCAATCCAATGTGGTTTATTATTAAATAATTACTGACGTAATTACAACTTTTTTCAATAGCCATATTATAAAAAATATATACATATATATGAATATATATTTGTGTGTTTGTGTAGATATCTAGATGATTATATACTTTCTTATAGAAAACTTTGATGTTGATCATTCTCCTGAGTGTTTTGAGAACACATTTCAGCATACATACATATATATATATATAAAAGTGCTGTCTGCCTGGTCTAGGTCCTAGGTCAGCAGGCAGCAAATCCAAATAATTTTAAAAAAAAAACCTTCCAAAGGGAATACCCTCGTCACAATGCAATACCTTTCTTTCCACTCTTCCTTTCAGAAAAATGGGAAATGGCAAGAAAAATCATTTGTTAGGCAGGTTAACCAAAAAAATTTTAAAAAATCTTCAGTAATAAAGAGCTTGGCTCGCAGCTCGTGGAAAAACACGTAACGTCTTGGGTTTTCTACGTTGGCGACGCCGTGGCCATTTAAAAAAAAAAAAAAAAGCGCGTCCGATCACGCCTCGTTTCACATCTTGTCGGGTTTTTTGGTTTGAGAATGGAGCCCAGCATCGACGCGTCTCTATCTGCTAAATGTGAGTTTGGAAACTCGACAAAGGGCATACTCGTTTCATCGTTTCTCATTTCTATTGATTTCCTGTCTATTTACATCTAATGACTATCAGATTCACAAATTCTTATTTTTTCTTTTTTAACTTAGTTTTTGGTAAAAGACAAAAAGGTAAATACTGCTAGTGAGATTTTATATTTTTACATATGTTGGTTTTATTTTGCGTGTCTTCTTTTTTATTTATATGCCACTTAGTTTGGACGTCTTTGGTTTTGTGTGAATTCATATGTCTGCAGAATGTGGAGACAAAGGCATTTCAGTATTTTTGAATTGTTAAAATCTAGTTTCATAGAAGCGGAGTATCTGATGTTATAAATTATATTTTAATTCATGTAAATAGTTTAAAACAGAAGATTATGGCTTCCTTTTAAACTGAATACATTTCTCTTCAGAGATTGTTTACATTATTAAACTGTAGAGATGTGCTCCTCATATACTGTATAAAGTACATATATTCATTGATTTGCCTCCAAAAATAAAATCCTAATGAACAAACCTTCAGTGCACGTGCTGCTTTTTGGCACAAACGGGCGAAGCCACCGGAAGACCACCCAGGTCTCCAGCCGTTTGTCAAGGCCGAAAATTGAAGCCACTGACTCTGTCCCACGTAAACAAGCTTTTTCTGCTGTTTTAATGCAGCAATCTGTGGTTCACCAGCTTCAGCCCACAGTATGTTCAGTTTTCATGCTGTCACCACCTGTCATACAGCACCAATCGCAGCAGTAGTCATCTAAAGGTGCTTTACACAATCAGACCTCCCCTGTAAACAACGTTTGGCGACGGTGGGAATGAAGAACTCCCTTTTAACCGGGAGAAATCTCCAACCAAACTGGGGTAAGGGAGGCCTCCTGGCTCTGTACAAATCCATCACTTCTGCACTTTGTCCAGTATTCACCCCTCGAAGCTGCTCATCAGACCTGCAGGGCCAAGAGCTGCCCACAGGTCACGAGTGCAGGCGAGTGTGGAGGGAATGGCTGGTTTCTGATACAGGGACGTTGTTAGCAGAGTGGAAGTGCTTTCTTTATAGGCGGATTTTCAGAATAATACTCATGTTGTGTTGAAGTACGAAGGAGAACTGCAATACTGCATCCAATACTTCCACTGCTAGAGACGGCCAGTTTCCTGTAAATAGGATCAAATAAGAACTCAGTGTTGCTGGATCCAGTCCTGAGAGTAAATGTCACTTCTGAAAAATTACTGCATCTCATATTTCCAAAATCGTCTCCGGAGCCAAAAGTGGTTAAGACTAAACTCTGTGACTTGGTACGTCGTGCACGGGGATGTTGAGTGCATGTCACAGTAAACTACGCTGATGCAAATAAATTTTAGTCACTGTGCCGTCTGTTTGACTGACGAGACACGGTGTCTGTCTCCTGAATGGAAGATTGAACTGAACTGGAAGCTGGTTCCACACAAGAGGGGCCTGAAAACTGAAGGCTCTCCCTCCCATTCTACTTTTAAATACTCTAGGAACAACAAATAAGCCTGCAGTGTGAGAGTGAAGCGCTCTAATGGAGTGATTTGGTACTATAAAGTCATTAAGATAAGATGGGGCCTGATTATTTATGTGAGGAGCAGGATTTTGAATTTCAGAGCTGAAAAATGAGGTTGGCTTTAAACCACCAACCACTGCAGTTCCTCTAGCATCCAGCAGAGGCAGTAGTGAGTCACTCCCATAGAGTCCCATGTTAAAATAAACATGTTTCCAGCCTGATACACAGCCTGTTCTGATCTCTATAGATAATTTCCCCCTTCACAACGGCAGGGGGCGGGGGTTCTGTAAGTCACATTACGTGTTAAAGTTTGCACATTTAGGGCCTGTGTCCTCTTTAACTGACAGGCTGATGGTGACAGGTCACTGTAACTGGATTGTTGTCACTTTGGTTTCATTTTGAGGATGGGGCGGAGTCACACCGGTCCAGATCTGGAGGATGGTGCATGCTGAGTGGGATTCGATGCAGATGAGCTGCCTGTGGGGGTGTGTTTGTGCTGCAGCCCTGCGAGTGCAGGAAAAACGGTAAAACCTTAATGAGCGTGTGCCTGGCCACGGCCTGACCTGCTCTCTCATACAGAGGAGGACATGCCCTCTCTCCAGTCTTCCCCTGGTTAAACAGCATACTATTAACAGGCCGCTGGCGAGTTTCCGGCTGGCTGGGCCGTGATTCGCACGTCACTGAGTACACTGATGATTGCGCACGAGGCAGCACTACACCAGCACTGCTGCACTCGTGCTCTTGACTCTGCTGCGATTCCCACGCCAGCAAAAACATAGAAGAACATCCCAGAACCTGATCCTGAAGCGTGGGGAGCGTGGAGGTAAGAAAGGAAGGACTAAAGATACGAATATCTTCAGTTTGATGTTCTGATTGTCCAATTCCACAGAGGTGTCATCGATCCTCTTGGTTGAGATCGCAGTCTGTCTGTGAGCTCTATGGTGAGCCAAAGTTCAGAATTACATTCTAATTTCAAATCAAATATATTGAATATTGAAGTTGGAAATTACGTAGTGTTACCCAACAAACCACGACCACAGGTTTACGCTCCAAGCAGTGTTGGGAAGGTTACTTTTAAAATGTATTCCAGTACAGATTACAGAATGCATGCCTCAAAATGTATTTTGTAATGTATTCCGTTAAGTTACTCAATCTGAGTAACATATTCTGAATACTTTGGATTACTTAATATATTGTCATGCTTTTTACAACTACACAAATGTCGCTATCACATCCTGCAAATCCTTGTTTGTTTTTCTTTACCAATTAACTGTTAAACCCAACTTAAGATAATATATGTAATGTAGAGGAGCAAAGACTTGGGTATGTTTGTATAAGCTGTTTTGTCTTCTTAAAGATAATAAAAAAGCACAGTCTTTCCTTAACATTTTTTTTATATATAAACCTGACAAGTGGAAGACAAACATAAAATATGCCATTGAAAAGTATTTACTGTTATGGTCACCAACATCACTTAGTTCAAATAAAAAGTAGCCTTGCAGAAGGAGAAAAAATATCAGCATTTTCAATGACTGTTTTCTTATTAGGACAAGAAAGGATATATATAAAATTATACTCAAAAATTAAAAATATCTTATTTTGGCATTTACTGTCAATATTATTCTTCCACCAATAATTTTAAATTACAAAAGATTTTTCAATACAACTCAGATATTCAAACTCAATGTAACAATGAGAAATTACATTTTAAACCTTACCCCTATAATTTTTAAAACAAGACAATATATGTTTTATGCAACTCAGCAACATTACCTTATGGCCATTTAACAAAGGCATGCAACAAAGAACTGTCCAAGGTGTCAGTGCTGAACTGCTTGGTTGAAAACCTTAATTAGCCCCAAAAATCAAATAATTGGCGAACAATTGCAGTAAACATATGAGGTGCTGCTTTTTGAATGCATGCCAAAAACAAATACTAAAGACTACAAAATACTGAGGTTGCAAGCCCTATCTGTGAACAATACCAAGATAGTTTCAGCAGACTACCTACATCTGTTTCGCCTAGTCTACAGTCCAGTAAAGGCGGTTGTAACGCAGCAAGAGCACTTGTTCAAAGTGTTTGTCTGTCATGCAGTTACGGTGTGGGGTGAAAACAAGTCCTCCGTGGCTAAAGAGACGCTCGACAGGAGCACTTGATGGCAGAGTTGTATTGTACTTTAAGAAGAGGGCTCTGATCAATGGATCTCTTTAATGAGGTCAGTGTCTTATCTGAATCTTGAAGATACCTCTGTACCTCATCCTCCGCTGCAGAACAGGTCACCTGTGTACTCTGAAAACTGAAGAAGCTGTCATCATCATCTTCTGGCTCATTTCCCACTGAGGTATGTCCAGTGGTGCTGGTGTCATTAGAAGGTTCTGTGTTGAGGAGACCATTGGACCATTGTTCTTCTCATGGATTCTCTTTCATCATCAGCAAGCCACCAGAGTCAAAATTTTGGGATGGTGGATGCTGCCATCCTTGCTTCATGGGAGGCTAATACAGCTGCAAATCGAGTGTCAATTGCTTTGATGATCGCTAAGAGGATATGAGTTGAAAATTGCACTTGTGTCAACTTTTCAGATAACTTAGCTTTCAGACTGAGAAGGGTGGGAATCACATATCCGAAATAGCAGTTCTTTTCCCCCTGGAACAGGTTGACTGAGTAGGCAAGTGGTTTCAGAATGGCTGCATACTCTTTGAGAAACACTGTCTCTTGAGGATGCAGTTTTGCCACCTTCAGTTGTTCACAGATTTCATTGAGCTGACTTTCAGCTAGATTCATTAGCTTCTCGATTGCATGGTACTCTGAGCTCCACACCTGTGGGGATGGCGCCCAGGCCCAGAGCAGCGCCGCCAGCTCCCCAATCCTTTCCAGGTGGCGCTCGGACCGATCCTGCAGCTCTTCCTGCTGGCGACACACCTCCGCTGCCTGCTCCCGCTGGGCGGCCGCCATTTCGGCCACCCTCTTGGCCAGCTCCTCCATTCCCTGGCTCCGATATGGACCTGCCGTGCTGCCTCCTGGGTTTCGGCACCAATGTGGCGTGAATAAGGCACGGCGGGACCACGGAGCAACGTTCAGAGCCATCTTTATTTAATTCACGTCACACCACAACACACTCAAACCCCTGAGTCCCCGTGTTTTTAACTAGGCGGGCGTGATTAAGGATGCCGTGCAGGTGCGTCTGCCCTGCACGGCACCGCAGACCACGCCCCACCACAACACATTTTGAGTATGTAGAAAAATTTCAGTTATTGCTTTCTTCATTTTTGGAAAAGTTTTCTCAATGTGAGTCATCAATGTTTTTCTGCAAACAGGACTCCTGCCCCCACTTAGTCCTTCAACCATCTTACGGAATGAGGTGTTCTCAACGGTAGAAAAGGG